GTATTGTCCCTCACCCGTCTCCTCCAGCCTGACGGGTGAAGCAGCAAGGGCTTCCCCTCACCCGCCTTACCTCTCCCGTCTCCGTAACACTCGCTATAACACTCCCGTACTGAACCATGTGATCGTTCGCTCTACCCAACACCGATTACCTTGCAATTGCTGTGTCATGGAATCTGCAATCGAGTTGTTTATTTAATTACGTCGCCATTTGACGCAACATTTCATTTCTAACACGTCGCATTTTTAACGGAATTGCGCCTTTTGGGGGGAAACGTATCAGTTAAAGTATTAAAGCGCCACAATACTGACGTTGTGTACGTGCCGCCGGCAGCATGTGGGTCGCTTAGTTTCCAGCGGTACCGAGTTAGGTAAAACAGTTGCATTATTGACGTAGTGGTAAGTCGTTGGCGGGGTTGAACTTCAGCTCCTCGGTCCCGGCTCTCGTCCTTCAGTCGCCAGGTGTGGCCCAGACTCGTGGTTTCCACGACCTCCACTACGCAGGAAAGTTACATAAAAACGAGAAAAAATATATATATATATATAATTACACATTATTGAAGATAGGCCATTGTATACTCTGTACGGTGTACTGTACGAGGGTGTACTTTATGTTGAGTACCTGAGACTAACCTGTTAATTATTGGAGGTTTACCGTACAGGTGTGAAGGTACCTTGACACAGTTCCACTCCGGGCCTCCATGACCCTACGGTCTCCTGTCACCCCCTGCCCCGTACCCTGCCCCTGTACCGTCTCCCCTGCCCCGTACCCTGCCCCTGTACCGTCTCCCGCTGCCCCTGTACCGTACCTGCCCTGTACCGTCTCCCCCTGCCCCGTACCCTGGCCCTGTGCCGTCTCCCCCTGCCCCGTACCCTGGGCCCTGTACCCTGCCCCTGTACCGTCTCCCCCTGCCCCGTCCGTCACCCGTCCTGCCCTCTACCGTCTTCCCTGCCCCGTACCCTGGCCTGTACTGGCTGCCCTGGGTGTGGGTGCCACCGGGCACTGAATGGCACCCAACAAGACGGGCGGGCGCCATGAAGGGCTCCGGCGGGTGGGGAGTGACGGTAAGCGGGTATGTTGACAGATATGATATTATGATGGATCAGCGGCATGTATACCTCATGAGGGACGCTGGTTTTATCAGACTGTTGGTGAGGAAGCTTGGTGCTAACCGGGCTCGTGGTATTGTATGTCAGCCAGCTGATGCTGCCCCAGCGACCTCTGCCTCAGCGACCTCTCCTAATCTTCTCTCCTCGTCGTAACTTAATTCCCGCCAAACACACACCGAAACTACGACGTTGGTACAACGTTCGAACAAGTTTTAACACCTAACCAGTTATAACAACCAATATAGCAAGTTGTAACAACGTTCTAATACGTCATAAACACGTTAAGCCAAGATGTAACAACTTTATTACAAGTTGTAACAAGCGGAAAATAGTCAGTTTCGGTTTGTGTTTCCAGTTATTCGACCAATTCGTTTACGAAAAATTGTTGTTTGTTGCTGAATATTAAAGCACTATGATATTGGCGTGTTCTGTCTCGATAGGTGAGGTGGGTCGCCTTGAATCATATTGTTCTGATTGTGCAAAATTGTTTTCTAACAGTCATAATGCGAGAGAATGTGGCTGGACTCTTAGCTAGGCGCGCATAACCCTTAAACTGCTCCCGTCGTCTATGGACGATTTGATGCTAACCAGTCGTATTGGTACTTTGCCTGGGAGGTAATCTTAAGTGTTTATTTTATCGTAAATCTAAACAATCGGATTACTTTGTTTAAACTCGTTATCATGCTTTAGTTTCATGATAATGAGATTACCTTCAGGTGGTTCCGAGGATCAATGTCCTCGTGGCCCGGCTCCTGACCAGACCTCCATAGCTGTTGCTTCCCAACATTTTCAGTCGGTGTGGAGAAGTGAGGCCAAGTTCCTCATCCCCCGCCTGCTGCTACCCTTATAACTGTTGCCTTACAGTTTACCTGCTGATTATGGGCTATTCATGCCCGTGCCATCTCTTGAGTGGCTTAATATTTATAAATCAATCTTACCTACTGACATCCACATTTGTTGTCGAATATGGACTTAAATTTATGGATGGACGTAGCTTCTAAAGCTGCTTCTTTCAGTGCATTCCACTATGATTGACCAGCCATACATGGTACGTGTGTTTCCTTATCTTCCTTTGGCTTTCAGCGCCGTGGAGAGGGGGGGGAACCTGCTGCCTGGGTAACAGCTTCTCCCCCGTATCAACCTACCCAGGCTTTGCTCCCTGGTGAGGCCACTCCAGACCGACAATCAGAGCGCAACTCCATAGTCTCCTGAGACTGATGGGTGCCTACTATTTCTAGCTACCACCTGGTTTTTCTCTACTTTCGCAGTGTGAAGATTTCATTGTCTACCTTGTCTATTCCCCTCAGTATCTTGTATGTTGTGATCATATGCCCTCTTGTTTCCTCTATGCTAAGGTTGAGACTGAGTTCCATTATGTTATCATAGCCTAATCCTCTTTGGCACAAATCTTCTTGACAATCTTTGTACTTTTTAAATTTTGGTTTTGTACTACATAAGGCGAGGATTCCATGCCGGTGCTGCACATTCCAGTATTGGTCTAACAAACGTTGTGTAAACTGCCTTGAATGAGTTCTGATTTTAATATCAAAACGTTCTTATATTTGCCAGGATCCCATATGCCCTCTATGATAGCCAGTTCGTATGCCCTTGGTGGGATGGTTGGAAATGTATCCACGACCGGCTACCGGTGGGGAGCCGGTCGGCCGAGCGGACAGCACGCTGGTCTTGTGATCCTGGGTTCGATCCCAGCTAGGCGCCGGCGAGAAACAATGGGCAGAGTTTCTTTCACCCTATGCCCCTGTTACCTAGCAGTAAAATAGGTACCTGGGTGTTAGTCAGCTGTCACGGGCTGCTTCTTGGGGTTGGAGGCCTGGTTGAGGACCGGGCCGAAGGGACACTAAAAAGCCCCGAAATCATCTCAAGATAACCTCAAGATAACTCTCAGGTCCTTCTTTCAGATTCTTTGAAATTTGAATTTTCAAAATTGAATTTTTAAAATTTTGAATTTGAAATTGAATTTTTAAAAATTTGAAATGAATCTCAACGGGAAGACCGTTGCTTTCCCTGGAAACACAAACCGAAACTGTCTCTATTTTCCGCTTGTTACAACTTATAATAGAGTTGTTACATCTTGGCTTAACGTGTTTATGACGTATTTGAACGTTGTTACAACTTGTTATATTGGTTGTTATAACTGGTTAGCAGGTGTTAAAACTTGTTCGAACGTTGTACCAACGTCGTAGTTTCGGTGTGTGTTTGGAGGGTTCCCACTTATGGTATAGATGCCTCTTGGTTCTCCTTTCCCATCATTTCCTTTACACTTGCTGGGGGTTGACTTCCAGCAACCATTTGTTTGTCCACTCCTGCAGTTCGCCACGGTCCTCCTGCAGTTCCCTGCAATCCTCCTGGTGTTTTTACATTCCTCGTCAGCTTCGCGTCATCTGCAAACATTGATAAGTACGAGCCCGCTCTCTTAGATGGATCACTCACATAAATTGGGCCAGTGACCACCGCTGTTCCTGAGACTTGTGAGAGGAGCCGGCGGCTGAGGGGACAGAACACTGGACGCGTGATCCTGTGGTCCCGGGTTTGATCCCGGGCGCCGGAGAGAAAGAATGGGCAGCGTTTCTTTCAGCCTGATGCTCCTGTTACCTAGCAGTAAATAGATACCTGGGATTTAGTCAGTTATCACAGGCTGCTTCCTGGGGGGTGGAGGCCTGGTCGAGGACCGGGCCGCGGGGACACCAAGCCCCGAAATTATCTCAAGATAACCTCAAGATAACCTGACCCCTACTTGTTACAGTCCTCCAGCTTCAACCCGTTCTCGCAAATTTAATAAGTCAATATTGACTTATTAGTTGCGTGCATAGGTGACATACTAAACATAATAGTTTCCCTTGAAAAGCTTCATAGAAAACACCGACCTTACCTAACCTACTTAGTATGTTAAAATAAGCATCTTATAGCTTCGTAATTACAATTGGTACTTAACCTAATATAGGTATAGGTTAGGTAATAATTGTAATTACGAAGCAATAAGATTCTTATCTTAACATACTAAGTAGGTTAGGTAAGGTCGGTGTTTTCTATGAAGCTTTTCAAGGGAAACTATTATGTTAAGTATGTCACCTATGCACATATTTAATAAGTCAATATTGACTTATTAAATTTGCGAGAACGGGTTGCCAGCTTGAAGCAACCTCTCTCGACTGTGACTGTGCTACTCCTGTGCAGGTCGGTGTTTTGTCCAGTTCTTTTTCTCCGTCTTGTACACTGCCTTTCGTAAGGAACAGTGTCAAGTGCTTTTTGGCTATATTAGGAAAATGGTCTACCCCGCCTCATTCCCCTCCCCTCCCCCGTCCTATTTTAGTAACCCTGTTATAGAACTTGGTTAATTTTGTCCGGCATGACTTTCTAAATTCATGCCGACCTTTTGTTACATAGTCGGACCTTTCCAGGTGCTCCAGCATGCTCAAGCTGAGTACTTTATCCAGCACTTTACACACAGTGTTTCTCAACTGCTGCTGGCTTTACAGTAGTGTAAACTCTCGTATGTAATTACACTGGTCTTTAATTTAGTGCCTCCTGTCTAGCCATTTTTGTGTTAATATTGAGGCTGCGCCTTTTTTCCACAATTCTGGGAGCGTTCTGGTCTCGGGTGTTTAATTAAATATTTTAGAAAATGGGATGACAAGGTACTTCTGCTGTCAAAGTGAGTGTGGAGGTCACACTGATTTTGTCACGTCTAGTTCCTCCAGGTGGTTGTTCTACAGTGACTACTACAATGTCATCCATTGTTTCTTCTAACCTTTCATTCCGCAACCTTGGCTCCACGCCAGAGCCCACCTGAAATATCTTCTCAAGTTCCTCACATAATTCCCCAACATAGTAGAGGAAACTGCCTCTTCCTTCTCACCTTCGCTGTTGACCAC